TTTTACAAGTACAACAATGCATATTATACCGTATAATTTCGATTTTCGTCAGGCAAGTGACCTTTATTAAACTTTTGGTGATGTAGAAAATTGAAATAAACTGATAGAATGTGATTCACGTCGTTGTTATGAGGTAACGCCGATGTACGTGAATAGTTCTTCGCGGTAACGCCGGAAAATGCGATTTTTTATTTTTTTGGGTCGTCAGACCAAACAAATAATGATAGCGAAATTTCAGATCCTAAAATTCGTATTTGCAAATGCCGAAAGTAGTCCAAACTCCTCGAAGCTGTTACTTCCCTTCATATGTACATTAAAAATTAAGGGGAGACCACTGCGTAAAGATTGTCAAATGACAGGCGCATAAATTTTCGTAACAAAAAAAACAGTTCCCGATTGGTCAAAGATTTCTAATATTGTGTTATTCTTATAGATATACATGCTTATATTCAGCTCCATGATTATATACTTCAGTGTTAAACAACAGGTTTACCGTGAACAAAATACATCGAAATTAATAAGGGTTACAAACTGTAATATAGAATAATATGGTATTCTTCAGGCTGTTATCTTATAATTCTCCATGATCGAGGGGTTTACACGCTCGCTTTGGAAGCGAGAGGTCTGGAGTTCAAATCCCAGTTCAGGTTGTTTTTTTTGTTTTGTTTAAGCCAAACATTGAATTGAATATCAGTGTTGCAATTAGTCTTATAGCCAATTTACTATAGCACTGGAAAACAGCATTGGTGACACAAACAAACAAATTGGTTTATAATCTAACAACCTCCACCTTTCTGACATTCTGAGACCCAAACAAATTCAGCGCCTTCTGTGCTTTGATTCATATATGGTACTGAACTGTTACACAGGTTTAACGCCATAAATCGTCGAGTATCAGCACTTTTCAAATATATTTTTGTCGGGAAACTTTAATTCATTTTATACAGAATTTACTTTCGTTTGATTGTGTAGAAAAAAAAGACACAGTCTCGAACCACAGAGCTATAAACTTCGTAATATAATTCTTTGCTGAAGTGAGTACGAGGCAACTGAAGGAAACAACGGGGTAGCAAAGGAATACCTATTGAGATGGTAGTTATGAAAATGGGCTTTGTTAAATTATTGAATCTTTCATTGTTCTCACTCTTTATTAATTATTTGACATAGTAAACAAGAAGAAGTCCAATTTTAGACCTTCATGGCATGGGTAGACAAAATCTTCTATAAACACATCTCTAGTAGCTCTCAATATACATATACATTGAGTTAATAAACCAAAATATATTCAACCTATCTTTAGTCTATGGCACCCTTTACCTGGTAAATTTATGAAATGGTTTTGCTCAGCTGTGAACTCGGAACAGTTTATTTAAAGTCTGAGAGATTGGTATTAGATATTTAATGCATTTGTACAAATGGTCTACCTGAGTGAGCTATTGGTCACTCTGTATGGATGTGACCTGGCTCTGTACTGGTGGTCTCTTTTAGGGTTATTAGTCCTGTTAGTTTTGTAAACGTCTATAGTAATGCCGAGCATAAGCTATTACGGTAGATTTTCATATGTTTTCCCATACAAGTTAACATATATAAGAAACCCCAACAGTAGGATAAATCTTTACCCCAAGTTATATTTTTTTCTTTAACAGAGGACAATAAGGTTATGCTTTTACAAGTTTTGGGCATTATGGTTTCTAAGTAAAATATCTTTTGAATTCAAGTTTCCTCCTTATATAAGAGAAAAATAAATAAAATAAATAATCCATTTTCACAGATGTTAACCAAGCAAATTGCTACAGCCAAATATTTCTTTTGGTTGGGTTTCACATCACGTCAACACAATAAAGGCGGAGACTTTCTAGCTTTACTGGTGCATTATTTTAGACATAACATATACAGACACTTCTTCTCATGATTGTTTTCTATGATTTTTATAATTCAATTTACATTGTATTTGCAAAGGAAGTTTTTTGTTCTTATTTTCTAACAAGATCAGACGTGGGCAACATGTTTGCAAATAATAATTAATTTCGGGAAACAATTTTCAAATTGTATTAAGTTACACTATCCAATCAAAGTGTTGAAAGTTTGTTAAGATCTAATTATCATATATTTCTTAATAAGAAAATACATAGGCTAGGTCGCAAATAACTTGATTACATTCGCCGATAAAAGGCGTTCAACCTGTGTAATAATTCTATACCATATATGAAAAATATCGCATTTTCCGGCGTTACCGTAAAGAACTATTCAATTTCATCGGCGTTACCTCATAACAACGACTTGAATCTCATTTTATTAGTTTTATTTTCAATTTTCTATATCACAAGAAGTTAGGTTACCGAAAATCGAAATTATACGGTATAACATGCATTATTGTACTAATAAGAGCCGACAAAAAGCCAAAATCTCGCTCAAAACGGTGGTCAAGCCATCATTTTCAAGAATGATCTTGAAAAGTAAACAATTTCGTGGAAATAATCTTGATGAGGGAGAAAATGTCTTCGCTGCCGTATGCAGCTATTCCTTTTTCCAGTTTGGTTAAATAAAACACATATTGGCCAGTTTACTTACCGCGTTGGAAATCCTATCAGGTATCCGCCATTCATTGCACAATTCTGCGTTACTTATTGCACGAATCATGCGTTATTTTCACATTCCGGCGTTACTGGATATACACGATGATAATGCATACATTAATTGTCAGGTTTCCAGCTTTCCTAATGGAGGCTTTTAAATCACCTGAGTAAAACACTTATCTTCCATAAGCTAGCTAGATAAACAGGTAGCTTGCTCACATGAAATAATAACTAGAGCTCTGCCAGTCGGATGTGTTGCCTTGTGAACAATATAGCTGTATCTTGAACATTTTCTTCTTAAATAAAGGTTATCTATAAACACCACTGGATGTACATGTACCTTGAACATTAGTGTCATTTGAAGTGATTGTAACAATGTTACATCAGGATTGATATAGCTTGAATAGCTTTTATTGTGTAGGAGAACTGGCCTTGACAAAAATAAAGTGTAATAATTAATAAAGGGCAATAACTCTAAAATCATAAAGTATAGAAATCTATCATCCTATCATAGCTTTTATAGTTTAGATGAAATGGCTGGGACAAAAATAAAGTATTATAATCAACAAAGAGCAATAACTCTGAAATCATGAAGTTCAGAGTACCGCTTTTTGTGCACTGCACTTCTTCTCAAAGAGATCTATCATCCTATGAAGTTTCATGTCCATAGCTTTTACAGTTTAGGAAAACGGACCGGACAAGAATGGAATATGAAAATTAACATAGGGCAATAACTCAAAAAAAAGAAGTGCAGAGTACCAGTTTTTGTGCAATGCACTTCTTCTTAATGAGATCTATCATCCTATGAAGTTTCAAGTCCTTAGCTTTTATAGTTTAGGAGAAATGGCCTTGACAGAAATAAAGTATGAAAATTAACAAAGGGCAATAACTCAAAAGATAAGACATGCAGAGTACTGGTTTTTAAACACTGCACTTCTTCTTAATGAGATCTATCATTCTATGAAGTTTCAAGTCCATAACTTTTATTGTTTAGGAGAAATGGCTCGGACAAAAATAAACTATGAAAAATAACAAAGGGCAGTAACTCAAAAATTAAAAAGGGCAGAGTAACGATTCTTGTGCATTGCACTTCAGGTCATTGAAAGAAGCATGCATACCACGTTTGGAGTCAATCTGACATATAGAGACTGACAAGCCTTAGGGGACGCCGCAGCCGAAACCAACAACAACATCTACGCCGACAAAAGTAACCCCTACATGTCGCCTAAACAGATCGTTCAGCACGACATTATTGTTGTGTGTGCATGTGTGTGGTATGTTAGTTCCTTCGATTTGACCTTTGTCAACTTGGGTGGTTCCAGACTTGTGTGGTTCCAGTACTACTGTATAATTACCCTTAGGGTATACTACTAATCCTCTTCGTTCCAGGTGGAGCATAAGGCACCAACAAATCTCCTCCAGCCATCCCTGTCATGAGCTAACCAGTTCAGCTCGTTCCAGTTCTTGCCTGCTGCCTTCATCTCTTCCTCGATGGTCCTCCTCCAGGTGCCTAGTGGACGACCTCTCTTCCTCTGGCCTTGTGGTGTCCATCTCAGTACTTTGTGAGGATGTCTCTGCTTGTTCATCCTCAGAACATGACCCAGCCATCTCCATCGTCTGGACTTGACCTCTTGAACAATGTTGGTGATCCCGGAGCGTCTGTTGACCTCTACGTTAGTGACATGTTGTTGCCAGCGGATCTTGAGAATGCGGCGTAGACCCTTAGGGTATGGTGCCTGTTTTTTTTTTCAATTTGTCTTTGACGTCTTATTTGTGATACACAGGCTTTATAACATCAATATACCCTTTGAAAATTCTAATTTATTTATTTCGGCCCATTGTTTACTCCTTTAGGGCACACGAAAGTGTCACATTGAAGGTTCCATGATAATTATGTATGAATACATCTGTGCGAATCTTTCTAAATTCCAAAATTCCGAATTTGTCATGTCTAAATGTTGAGTTCTGCTGAACCCGGTGCTAGGGGGCGTGGACGGTTATTTGCACTTTCCAGTACCGTCCATCAACAGGCTCAATGAAATTAAGCCTGCAATTTTTTTTTTTTTGGGGGGGGGGGGCGTTATTAAGGGATTCCGTTTTCTCTATTTTTAGGTAAAAATGAAAAAAAAAGTCTGACAATCATTATAATAATCAATTTATGTAGAATTATTAACATATAAGAATTACTGTCAACCGGTGGACATTTTGTACCTTCGGCTTCCATAGTCTTGATAATAAGTACATGCATAAAAGTAATGAACTAAATATATACATGTATGTATCAAATACATGTAAGAACATAAGTTCAACTTATGGTCTGGATAGTCATACTGGCCTGCAGACATGTGTAAATTTTGCGTTCATGTTAATCTCGTATGAGGAACAAATGAAACAATCATTTTAACTTTATTTATTTCAATTTGTTCCAAATGGCATTATCTAAAAAAGTCTCTCCACGTATAATATACATTATGCATATCCGTTCAGCTGTCTTGTGATCATGAAACAGTTTCTATAAGTGGGTCTTTTATGCTCTCATTTAACGTTTTGCATAAATATATTTTGCAAACATCTATACATGCAAACTATTCTAATAATATCATTTATAAAAAAAACCTATAAATGTCTTAAACTCAAGTAGCACTAGGCTTTAAACCAGTCAATTCTTAACCTGGAACAAAAAAACAATCTGTCCCAGTCTGGTCTGAACATACGTCCAATTTGGCTAATAACTTTTTGTTCAATGTAAACAAAAAATGACTCTCGTCACCTGTGAAACGATTTTGTAGCACTTTTTTCTGACAACTTGTATTTTAAACTTCATACAATTCTTAGAATTATCAAGAAGGCAAACGTAACTGTAATATTAAGCCAGCCCACTTTTGTCACGTGACTTGCAGTTGAACCAATCAATGAAGCGGACAGTGTCTGTGACGTGGTGACGTTGTATGGTACGGCGACATTGCAGTAAGATACTGTGCAGCACGAGATACATTCCTGAAAAAATAAATCAAAAGGAAAAGGTTTACTTTTAATTTATATGTTTGTAATACATATTTAAATTCTGGAAATGTTGGCGATTTTATTTTGGATAAAAGTAGTAACTTTAGTATGAACGACTGGGGAACTGTGCGTTTCATTTCAACAGGGTTTGCTGTAATACGAAATGAGAACACAACGAATTATCATTACAATATCATGAATTCACGAAGAAGCTAATTAAAGAGCTTAATGAAAATTTATATAATGTTTGAGTTTAAACTTACGATTTCTCCTTCTAAACCCGTAGCCTTGCAACCTACGTGATCATTGCTGCATTGCTCTGGCATGGCGCACATTTTGTCAACTTGTATACTTTTGCCCGTTCTTTCATTTATATGATGCACAGTCTTGCATACCGTGTGTCCTGAAGAATATAAGTATATACATTTAATAAGAACTTTCTAACAAAAATAATATATAATTATATGATTTGTTAAAATGGCACAATGGTATTAACTATTTATTTCTGAGACATTACGTTTGCAATGTATTGAAAAGCAATCATACCCTCCATATTCTATAATAAGTTCAGATAACTTTCGTTGGGTGATTAGTGAAAATTTTAAAGTGACGTTATGCTTATTTTATCACTGCCGAGTTGAAACAGGAATATATCTATTATAATGGTGATAGATCAATACTTGATAATGAAAAACGGTTATGATACAATATAGAAGCTACCTAAATTATAAAAAGACTGCACCACATTTTTAAAGATTTAAGCATTACCAATACATTATGAACGATATTTATTGATTTTTTTATTAGACACATGAATTATTGTATTTCAGGTTATAAGAAACATCAGAGTCTGTGTAACTGAAATGTTTTGTATCCATGTATATAGTTTTAGCACGAAGCCTACCAAGCATAAAGGACTGGATCGCCAATAAGGATGCGATATTTGAGTCACTGCAAGGGTTATAATACATGTATACATGTACTTACTGAATGGACATGGTATGTTAGGCGCCCAATTGTTGCATTGTTCGTTATCCTTCTTCATTGGGCACGTGTAACATGTCAACGCTGAAAAAAAAGATGAACATCATTGTTATTATTATCACAGACGTAAAAATATGATGTATATATGTTTTTGTTATGATGTAGCTGTTTAAAAGCACTGTGTAGCAGTAAGATTTTATTAAAAGAATATGTTGTATTATGGCTACTTTTCAGCTTCAAAGAAAACTCCGATTCTCAACTTTTTCATTCATACATTATATTTTACACGTGTGAGACACTTCAGTCTTGTTAATCGGATTCATCACTTAAGGTGAACATTATAGGAAGTATTCTTTCTCTTTCAGCATATTTTTTTGCACATATTATTTTATACAGATTTGAAAGCAATACTTTTCCGATATTCCGCAATTTAAAATAAATCAAACTTTATCCTACATAAGGGAAAAATTGTAAGCATTATTACAAATGAATGATACACACCTTCAAAGTTCCGGTAATCTATATGGATGTGTACTCCAAATGTCCCTGTCGTCATGACAGCCAAAAGTACCAAAGCAAAGCTCACCAGGTAGGCCATTTTTCTATAATCTGAAAAACAAAACGTGTGCTTAAAACATACGATATTTGACAAGAATGTCAGACGAGTAATTCTTTCCATCATAAATGATGCATGTTATGATGTATATTTACTTATGATGTATATTTACTTATGATGTATATTTACTTAAGTGTATAAACTAAAACTATTTTCAAAGACAGTGCAAGATTTTGATGAAAACTTTTAATGAGTGAGAAACAATACCGAACAAAGAAACAAAACTACAAAAACCAGTACATGTACATTTACTTTAAAGTGTATAAACTAAAACTATTTCCGAGGCAATGCAAAATTTTAATGAAAACTTTCAATAGTAATATATGGTGAGAGACAAAAAAATACCATAAAGAAATAAAATAACAAATGCCGAAGCCGAAAATCAAAAATAATTTCTTACCTTTAAAGGTGTTTTATCCTGAACTAAATCCAATCACGAGAAGCACAAGGTAAAGAATAAAGTTGTATGTAAATGTATAAATGAAGTTGTTTTAGTATATTAGATAAGTCCTGACATGAATGCTTGTTCCAAAATAACAGTATGGCTTTGTATTTATTTATTTTGTTCTTATATACTTTATTTCTTTATCGTGTAATCAGTGTTAAAAGTAACACTCTAAACACATTATTATCTAATTATCAAATAGATCGGTGACTACAAAGGGCAATGTGATGACGGTATCAGAGCATGTAATGGATGGTATTTCTCACGTCGGATATAATTGTCGGCAATATTTACTGTCGGCAGAATCGTTAACTGATTGATCACATTCTTACACGTGATTGTTTGATGATAACACGTGAACGCATGTTTTCACGAGTTCGTTAATTCGCTCATATTATGTCTGTAACGGGTATGCTGATTTGATTATAGAAAAATAGTGATAAAGTAATAATAAATTTAAAGAGGTATTTTCATCTAATTGCATGAGTCGATTTCAAAATGTATATCTATAGTTTTGATATTAAATACAAAAGCATTAAGTTAAAGCAAAAATATAAAATGATTATCTTTTCATTGTATAGCATAGTCAAATTAAATTTTTCACAGTTTAAAGAAATATAGGAAAGGGATTTATTTCTACTGATTTTTATATTAAAGACAAAAGTTTACATGACAAAGACTGCTAATAAATGCATAATATTGATTTTTTCAAAATTTAGTTAATTATTAAATTCAATAATGTTTCTAATATAGATAATATTTTTCATATCATTTTAAAAACCATGGTATGTACATCGACACAATTACATGGGATACGGACAAAAGCCCGCCCTGACGAAAGCCACCCCCCCCCCCCGGTCTAACTTCAATTTTCAATTTCATTTTTATTCACTCAGATCATACAAACATGACAACATATGAGGCTTCTTACTTGTAACATTCTTTATACTCATATTCTTACATGATTATGTCCCTTACAAATATGTACTTGACAAGATCATATACATTTATGTCCCTACTTGAAATATCCTATACTTCCTTGTTTAAATTTGGTCACCTTCCCTATAAACATGTACGTGTACCTAGTCATGTCCTGTATATACAAATTCTCACATCATACAATAAATTACATCTTATATATCCATGTTTTTACTTAAACATATCCAGAACATGACTAAGGCATACTATATTCAATCATGTATGTCCCATATATAGATGAAAATATTATATTTGTACTATAATATGTGAATTTTAATTCTACATTTCAATGGTGTAATTATAACGATTTTACTTGTATTTATGATAATATATACAAAGTCTCTTATAACTCTGTAGAGAGTGACAATGTGTCTTCTTTTTAATTATGCATTTTATATATGATATGTTGTATATACTGTATCACATTGATGAGACTATAATAAAGAATAAAATATGTGGTAATAATACAATTACATGTACATAATAAATGAGGCTTCAGAATCAGTATCAAAATAACATGATATATAAAGTGTTAACATAAATATTGCGGGAGTCCGTATTAAAACAAATACTTCAATAGGGTTCTCCACTACATTAAATTTATACAATTTTTGGCTCATGTTAATTTTAATATAATTTCTTTAATAAATAAACAAAGTTTTTTTGTAATCTGGAATGTTAACATCAGTGTTCATAAGAAGATCAATAGAATGTATATTATGTTTCTTTAAATAGTTATGTTTCAAAAAACGTTTTCTGCTGTTATCAAACAAGGACACTCAAAAATATAATGAAATTCATCACCAATCGATCTATCACACAGTGTACAGACACGCCTGTTAAGTTCGATGTTGTTCCAACGTCTGGTTTCTACTGGCAATTTGTTATTTCTTGTTCTAAATTTTATCATGTATTGTAAAAAAAATTGATGGAGTTTTTACAAGATATGTTTCAAAACAAAAAATGTTTGAATGATCTATAATCTATTATTTATGCATTTACTAGAATTCTCTAAAAATGACAAGGTGGACAAACTACCCCCCCCCTCTCCCAATGAAATTTATACATAGAACAAAAAGCCCCCCCCCACCCCCCATAAAAAAGTAAAGGTAGGACAAAAGCCCCCCCCCCATGGTCAATCAAATTTACAATACAATATATACAATACAATACAAATCACTTTATTTTATAGTGTATTAAAGTTGTGTTTTTCATGTGTTTAAAAGATATTTATGGACATCACATGTAGGTGACATAGAGCTAAGGATATTAATTTGATCCCTTTACAAAGTGATAAAACATTACTACTCTTCTGACCCTTGTTGTGTATAAGAAAAGGTATGAATTCAGTATCGCATGCATGCATTATTTCATCTGTTATCATATACTTTGTTATCACTTCAATATATACATTGTAAATAAACATTAAAACCGATTCTTTTCATTTTTATTTAAAGGTTTGTGTGAAATTTGATGAATTTGAGCACCTGTGCGTGTGAAAAAAGATGGGGGGTTCTTTTGTCCTACCTGTATTTTTGATGGGGGGGTTTTTTGTCCACCTTGTCATTTTTAGACGGGGGGCTTTCGTGCGGGGGGGGGGGCTTTTGTCCTACACTCCAATTACATGTCGAAGAAACAAAGACATACTGATCTACCTGAAGAAAATGATATTCTCATTCTATAGTGTTCATATTGCAAGATCTACAAATAGATAGGTAACTTCTGTATTGTCATAATGAATGGTCATATAAGAAATATGACAAACACAAAGAGGAAGAAAGACAAGTATAGGGGGACTAGTAGACAACCATCAAAAAATAACTGTGTACATAAACACTGAAGATCTGCTCATAGTTGTAATATATATTGTTATCATACATCCTCCGAACAATCTAGTATTTTTTGATGAAATAATAGATAAAATAATAGATAAATCCTATTATATAATGTATCATGATATATAGATAGCTAACTACGTTGTATTATGACGTAAAGACTTTTTTATCTTGTGATCAGAAACTGCCTGAGAACTTCCAAAATCTTTAGTTTTACCTATGATTTACTACATGTTAATTAAAAAAAATTCTTTTTTGCTGAATAAGTTGGAAGGGAATGGCCATTTATAGCAAAACAAAAAAATCTGTTTTACAAGCCCTACAAAGCTTGAAAAAAACACATGAACCACATAAGCTGAAAACATAAACCACATTAAAGTTAAGTTTGTTCGTTTAGAGATAATAGTAGATGACATTTACTATATTTAAGATAAAAATATAGATTTTATGCAGAACTAGAAATGTCTCCAAAGGACATGTGGGGGTATAAAAGTAAATAAAAACATGAAATGTTTATTTCAAAGATTTTATTTAGGTAATGATGGAGGATGATATATCACAACACCAACGGTAAACTTTCACCTAATTTGTATTTTATATACCAGGACAGTCTAGAATAACTGTCGAATTATTCTCCGTAATTATTTTACCTAGAAACACATTCATACCTACATATCGTTATTACTTTAAAAGGTTTCAACTTAATTCTTGCATTGTAAAAAGTGATTGTATAAAAAGTACAGACCGAAGTAAGCAAAAACAATTTTGACATACAATTCAACAAAACTGCAAACTGAAGTACAGTAGTAGATCTACTCAAACATAAATATAAACACTTATAATATAAATCATGATATTGTATAACATATTACGATATAATACAGTAGTTTGACATTTATTGAACAATTTGTATATAACATAATCACCTTGTATATCCAGTAACGCCGGATTGTGAAAATCACGCACGATTCCTGCAATAAGAAACGCAGAATTGTGCAATAAATGGCGGATACCTGCCAGAATTTCCACTGGCCAATCTGTGTTTTATTTTACCGAACTGAAAAAGGAATAGCCGCATACGCATTACTCTTTCTCCCCCATCAAGATTATTTCCACGAAATTGTTTACTTTTCAAGATCATTCGTGAAAATGATGGCTTGACCGTTTTGAGCGAGATTTTGGCTTTTTGTTGGCTCTTATAAGTAGAACAAAGCATTATTATACCGTATTATTTCGATTTTCGGTAGGCAAATGACATAAACCTAACTTCTTGTGATATAGAAAATTGAAAATAAACTGATAAAATGTGATTCAAGTCGTTTTTATGAGGTAACGCCGATGAAATTGAATATTTCTTCACGGTAACGCCGGAAAATGCAATATTTTTCATATATGGTATAGAATTATACCACAGGCTGAACGCCTTTTATCGGCGAATGTAATCAAGCTATTTGCGACCTAGTCAATGTATTTTCTTCGTAACTTATTAAGAAATATATGATAATTAGATCTTAACAAACTTTCAACATTTTGATTGCATAGTGTAACTTAATACAATTTGACCATTGTTTTCCGAAATAAATTATTATTTTCAAATATGTTGCCCACGTCCGATCTTGTTAGAAAATAAGAACAATAAACTTCCTTTGCAAATACAATTTAAATTGAATTATAAAAATCATAAAAAACAATAAAGAGAAGAAGTGTTTGTATATTTTATGTCTAAAATAATGCACCAGTAAAACTTGAAAGTCTCCATATGTCCTTTATAGTGTTGACGTGATGTGAAACCCAAACAAAAGAAATATTTGGCTGTAGCAATTTGCTTGGTGAACTTCTGTGAAAATGGATTATTTATTTTATTTATTCTTCGTCCATATTTTAGGAGAAATGGCTCGGACAAAAATAAACTATGAAACTTAACAAAGGGCAATAACTGAAAAAATAAAAAGCGCAGAGTAACGATTCTTGTGCACTGCATTTCAGGTCATTGAAAGAAGCATGCATACCACGTTTATAGTCAATCTGATTTATAGTGACTGAAGTATGGTCCAGACAAGCCTTAGGGGACGCCGCCGCCGACACCAACAACAACGTCTACGCCGACAAAAGTAACCCCTATATGTCGCACGTAGTTCAGCACGACATTATTGTTGTGTGCATGTGTGTGGTATTTTAGTTCCTTCGATTTGACCTTTGTCAACTTGGGTGGTTCCAGACTGGGGTAGTTCCAGTACTACTGTATAATTACCCTTAGGGTATGGTGCCTACTTTGTTTTTTAATTTGTCTTTGACATCTTTTTTGTGATACGCAGGCTTTATAACAGCAGATACCCTTTGAAAATTCCATTTTATTTAATTCGGCCCATTGTTTTCTCTTTAGGGCACACAAAAGTGTCACATGATAACCGCAATATGAACATCTGCGCGGATCTTTCTAAATTCCAAAATTCCGAATTTTTCATGTCAAAATGTTGACTTCTGGTGAACCCGGTGCTAGTGGGCGTGGACGGTAATTTGCACTTTAAAGTACCGCCGTCCACTAAAAGGCTCAATAAAATTAAGCCTGCAAATCTTTTGGGGTTTTTTTTTTTTGGGGGGGGGGGGGGGGGTTATTAAGGGATTCCGTTTTCTCGATTTTAG